GTTCCTTTTCAGAGGTACCTAGAATCTAGTCGCGAAAGAAGATTGCTGTATTGGCGGGAACCTTGGGGCTTTAAAATCTTAGGCCCTAATCTTACTTGTTCTTAGGAGTGAATAAGGGAACATAACCCTTATAATCCAATATATTCACGTATTTTCTACTAAGAACCAGCAAGTATACCCGTACCCTAAGGTCTGGGCACCGGGGGGATTCACTTCGAGATAAAGTTGAGCGTGCCGTTCATTTTTTGGTTAGCTCCGAAATGAGCTCCCATCGATACTTCGTGGCACATCTACTTTTGTTTTTTGTTGCCTCAATCGCTGGAAGAAGGACCCCACCCCGTCCTCACTTTGCAGGTTGACGTGCTAAAGCTGTCAAGCCCTAAACCTTCGGTGGTTTAGGGTTTAGAGTTTAGGATTTCATCTAAAAGGCTAGGCAAATCCAAAATTCCTCCAGGTCAGTTGGTATCCATCTCAGGAAGCCCCAGGAAGCCACCACTTCCAGTCAATACGTGGTTTCCCAAATTAAGGTTACCTTTAAAAGGGATATAGGGGTTACGTAGGATTATGATATTTAGGGTTATATTGGGGAGAGAGAGAGATAGATAGATATATATATATGTATATATATGTATATATATATAGAGGGGTTAGCCGTTCCGGTCACGTCCTTTCTTTTGCTGCTATGCCCTTGTGGCCCCAAGCCTCTGCTGTTAGCTTGCTATGCATGTTATCTGGTATTTTCTCCAAATAGGGGGACCTCACTATAGACCCCAAATGCTTTAATCTTTATTGTGAGGATCCCCAAAAAGGTACCCCTGATTTTGGGAAACCCTAAACCCTATATAACTCCATGAACCTTCAAAAGACCTATATAACCCTATAAACCCCTGTAAAGGTAACCACCCCCTAATTTTGGGGAAATCCCCGTTTCTGGGAGGTTGGAAGTCCATCTCCGCCTCCCCCGCCTTCGCCACCGTCGCCGCCGCCCGCAATGGGACGTACACGCTTGTACAAGGCAGGGACCCTAAAGCCTATAAACCCTAATATTAGATTTTCCCGACCCCTTGTATGAAAGATGGCCCCGGGTATGTAAGGTCTCTTAGGGAGGAAGAGTTATTATAGGCGGCGGGGATGTTTAATAACAATATGAAAGGATTACCAGGCGCGGTGTGCTGCTCTCCTCCCTCTCTTTTGAAGCGCCCCACTGTGCCCAGTAGTGGGCAATACGTGACTTGCTGGGTGTTTTTCAATAAGGAGGAAAGTTTGTTTTTTTTCAAACACCCATTCCAAGATGGCAGGACTACAAAGCGCTTCCCCTACTCCTACGACCCCCCCACCCCCCTAATCTTAGATATTCCTATGCTACCGCCATGGGAACATTTTTTTTGTTGGAGGCGCAGGTTGGAGGCGCAGAGTTTAATATCAGGGGGAGGGGATTGTTGTTTTCCATCCTTGCTTGGCAGTTGCTGTTGCAGGTGTGGCCTGCAGGCAATAGATTCTGCTGTGGAGGCCCCTTCGATGAATAAAGCGTGCTGCCTGCGTAGGTGATCTGGTTTCAGATGCCAGTTCTCAATAACTAGGGGTTCTGTTCTGCGAGGTCCTTCTGCTAAGGAATCTCTTACATGTGTAGGGGTAGCTGAAGGGGACTCTAATACTTCGAAGCTACAAAATCGCGGCGTGGTCATGGGAGATCGAGCAGTTGCAAGCTTTTCCGCAAAGAGCCCAACACACATTATGTGCATGTATAATATATACCCAGTTCCCATTTCATTCTCCCAGATCCTTTGCATTTGGTTATCGGGTGTTTTGGGATTATACGAGTCCCTTATATCTGCCCTACATACCCTACATCTTATTTTTATGTACATACCCCACACCCAAAACCCTAAATGTGGTTGATTTTTTGGACATCCCAGGCTATTGCATGACAGGGAGTCCTGGCCACGAATGCTCAGCGGCCCAATGCCTCCGCGAGAGCTGTACCTCAGCCGGCACTTGTCTGGGCTATATCCCTATACTGCTATAAGTAATCTAGAACCATCATGTTAGGTATTATCCGCATATGACGCTGGTTTTATTCGATTTTCATGATACGTGACATATCCCTGTAATTTGCCTATATAACCCCTATATATCATATATAAAGTCCTCAAGAAATATTATGTATCCCCTATATGTACATATGATATCCCCAATGAATAGTCTACCCTCAGCCAGCACTGAGTTGTCCTCGCTGACTGACGCCTTTGCTCTTTTTGAGTTTCCTCTGCCTTTGTGATTGCGGTGGGTCGCTGGAGCCTGCCCGGTGCCGGAGCTAGTGCTTTGTAAAAGGGCATCTGGGCTTATACACCCACCAAATCCAGGAGGGTCCCAAAATGAGATGGGCCCTAAATTTGTGGAAAATCTCCTAAACCCTAAAACCTAAACCTTGAACCCAAAACCCTAAAACCTAAACCCTGAACCCCAAACCCTAACCTAGACCCTAATCCCTGTTGTCAGCATGAGCTGTCGCAGGCATTCCGGACAACGGCGGGGCGAGACAGAAGCGCTGTGAGAGCCTGGCCTCGGAGCTTGAAGGCTGAGGGTTTAGGGGTTCAAGGGTTTAGGGTTTAGGGTTTAAGGGTTTAGGGTTTAAGGGTTTAGGGTTTAAGGGTTTAGGGTTTAGGGTTTAAGGGGACTTTTTCAGTGATCTCAGTTTCAAGTCCTGCTTGATTCAGTCACCTTCAGTCACTTCAGTTCTTGGCCTTACTTCAGCGGAGCTCGGTGAGGCCTTCCAGGCAAGGATCTCTGCAAGCCTGCTGCAAAAGGGGTTTAGGGATTAGGGGTTTAGGGTTTTAGGGGTGCAGTCCACTTGCAAAAAATGGGATTTAGGGTTTAGGGTTCAGGGTAGATTATTTCTGGGGTGTGATATTACTTATATATGCATAGGGGTTATTTGGGGGAGATCATGGGGACATGACCCCTATGATGGACAATCAAACGGAAAAGAACATGGAACATTTCAATGGAAACTATGGCTAAATAGGGATTCATAGAGCAAACAACCAATATTATGGTTCTAGATTCCATATAGCATTATGCTATATAGCAACTGAAGGGCTTAAATAGACCTTAAGTGATATCAGGTCGATATTACTGGGAGGGTCAGGCGATATCAAGGCATCTCAGCGTGAGTATACTTATCGCAGGCCTTATGAGTCATATAAAGCCCACAGTTATCCCTGTTAATAACGAAAGGACTAACCCCTCTTAACGTACAGGTTTTGGCATGCCCGCTCCGCGTGTGTGCTGGGCCCATGACGTCGGTGTTCAAACGAATCAGGTTTACAGAAGTTTCCATTTTCTTTTCCCCCATCCCCTAGACATCCTAAACCTTAAACTGTAGATTGCATTTTCTTTTGCATTCCCTAAGCCCTCAACCAGAAATCGCAAAACAAGAGCATGCTTCTTGCTCGGGGTGGACTGAGGGTAGTCAAGTTCACAACACACTTGTCCAAGTCTTGCCGCTGAAAGTCTGCGTGTCGGGCCAGGGGATTGTGATAACAAGCATGGCCTTTTTAAGATTGGGAATATCGGGTACTCCAGGCCATGCTGTAGACGTTCCCTGTGGAGGCTGGGATTTCATCAACCGCCCGTGGTGTACCGCAATGGGTCCTGCGAACTGTTTCTCGTGGGCATCTCGCTTGAATTGGGATGGGCGGCGGTTTCTTAGCATGATCAGAACCTTGCTTCAGACCTGCACATCCAAATGACGGGGCTAGCATGAGGCGGAGAGTTGGACAGTACCCCATATGCGTCGGGCGTGTTCTGCAAATGTTTGCATGAAGCGTGAGTGGCGCTGGCACAGGCCTGTATATTGGTGCCTTCAATTCTTTACTTCGTGATTGCGCTTCCGTACTACTGGAGTGCAGCTTGGCTCTTGACTTCAGATGCAAGGTGGCATAGAGGGCAAGAAAACAGATACAAGACGAGTTTGGGGATTCTGCAAATAGGGGCCCCAACATAGATCTCAATATACTTTTATTTCCATTGCACGGACTCCCGAAATTATGGGGCCCCTAGTTTTGGTGTCCACTTGCGGTTGGGACCGTGTGGCAGAAGATTTCAACAGCCAGGCAGCAGGTTTTGCAGAACTGGCAGTGGATCCTACGTAGTCTTCCTTGTACGGGTAAACACATGCTTATGTGCCAGAAAAGTTTTGTCTTGTTTTGAAGCTCCTCCCATCGACCCAAACATTCGCCGCAGGTTATTGGAAAATCAAATGGAGAAGCAGATGGAAGCCAGGTAAACCCCCAAAAAACCTAAACCCCTGACATCCCCTCAAGTGCTAAACTGGAATGGAAAGGGATTCGATGGGGATATGTACGTAGGGGGATGGAAAGGAAAAAAGAATAGACACTACTAGATCAAGTTTCAGGTCGTCCCAGCACTGTCTTTTCAAAACTTATGCTGTAAGGAAGTGCATCCAGCTCTTCCTATGACGGCCTTGTTCTTCTTCCTCATGACAGTTGGGTGCCTGCTCTCTGCATGCTTGGCTGATCCTGGCATTATCCCGCGCCGCGAGGCCACGAGGGTATCCAGGTGCATAGTATGGACGTTTCCCAAAAGTCAGGGGGGCCGTTTTTGGAGTCCGTAGAAGGACAACACTACGTTGGGGTCTAGGTTGGGTTCCCCCCAGTTTTGTGGCAGCTACAATATTTTTTGAAGGAAGATGCGTCCTTTTATCAAATGAAGATGCTGCGGGTGGGCACTGTGAGGACCTCCCACTGGGGCAGATCTCAAAAAGGGGCCATACCTGACCTCAAGTTGTGATACTCCCCATGAAAGTAGTTCTGCAGATTACATCCAAATTCAGACGTCCTGCTGGTATATATCATTCCATACCATGTTCCACGAATCTTGTCATACTTAGAAAGCCAAGAGTGGCAAGGGCAAACCTGACACTGCCGCAAGTTTGACTCAGATACCTGCACACCATCCCAGCAAGCCGGCACCCAGCAATGGCATTGCTCTCAGCTCTCTTAGCCATTGTGCCGGCAGTGGCGGCCGCTGAGAAGTATGCTGTCATTGCGGCGGGCTCTTCAGGCTTCATGAACTACCGCCATCAAGCAGATGCGTGCCATGCTTACCATCTTATGCTGAAGAGCGGCGTGCCTGCGGACAACATCATCCTGATGATGCAGGACGATGTGGCGAGCAGTTCCGAGAACCCTTTTCCAGGCCAGCTCTTCAACAAGCCCGGCGAGAACCCTCCGGATGTCTACAAGGGCTGCAAAGTGGACTACTCTGGTGACATTGTGACTGCAAGTTTGTTCCAGCACGTCCTGACTGGTGATGCGAAGCAAGCCAAAGGCAAAGTGTTGAAAAGTGGACCTAGCGACACCGTCTTCGTGAACTTTGTGGATCACGGGGGCCCAGGAATTGTCGCCTTCCCCAATGGCCCGGTTCTCACTGTCAAGCAGCTGTCCCAGACCCTGAAGACCATGCAGAGCAAGCACATGTTCAAGCAGATGGTGTTCTACATGGAAGCCTGTGAGAGTGGTTCGATGTTCCCAGACCTCACGGAGAATGGCAAGATCTTGGCCGTGACTGCTTCAAACGCAGATGAATCCTCTTGGGGAACTTACTGCGGTGACGAGGCCATGGTGAAGGGCAAGAATGTCGGGTCCTGCTTGGGTGACCTCTTCTCCGTGAACTGGATGCAGGATGATGACCTCGGATTGTTCTCCTCAGAAACCTTCAAGAGCCAAATTTCCAAGGTGACAAAGCTGACCAACAAGAGCCACGTTTGCAGCTTCGGCGACAAGACATTTGTCGACGAGACCATTGGCAGTGTGGAGGCTTTGGCTGCGGCGGGCAGCCCCTCCGTGAGCCTGCCTGATGCATCGCGGGGTGCCGTGGACGCCCGTGACATCTACCTCACCCAAGCCATGTGGGCTTGGACCCATGCAGCGGACGAGGAGTCCAAGAAGAAGGCCTGGAAGCGCCTAGTTGGCATCATGAAGGACAGGGAGGCCGATGAGGCCCTCTTTGACGGCCTGGCTGCAGCCGCATGCGCGGATGTGAGCTCTCAGGACCTGATCCAGTGCCAGAAGAAGTTCTTCAGCGACCGGATGGAAATGTCAGACATGGACTGCCACCACGAGCTTACGCATGCAGTACACGAGCATTGCCCGGCCTCCAAATTTCACAACTCAGCGGGCGGCTGGAATGGCTTCAACATGAAGTTCGCGCAGGTGCTCCTAAACATGTGCGAGGGCAAGGACTTCCTCGGGAAGTCGACGGCACAGCTCCTGGACCTTGTCCACATGCACTGTGCTCAGGCCTCCCGCAGCCGCACCCAGCAAGGCACCCAGCTGGAGATGGTTGTATAGAACCTCTCACAGACGTTCAGAGGATAATTAGATATGCCTTGGCCTTCTGCTAGGGCTTGAGGTGACCGGCTTTTGAAAGGCCACAAGGTCTCACTTGTTGGCAGACCTAATCTAAGACTAGTCCAAAAGCGACGGCAGCGGTTACGTGGAGTGCGCTTGGCACCGAGCAACATGCTGCAAAACAAGACGCGCATTGCAGGCTCTCATGCTTGCACCCCCATGTAATGCAATGCAAGACTGTAACACCCCCAAAAGATGGACCCAGAATTTATGCTCCACTGCGTTCTGACTTGGTGCTCGGAAGGGCAGGAGGGCTTGGACAAGTTTTGCAGCCAGATGCTCCACGGCCCTGACGGCTGGACCATAGTATAAGCCTGCTTGCACACACAGCTGATGGGATTTGTTTGGACTATCTTGCTGACAATTACATGTATGCATGAGTCTTCTGAACTTGCACAGGTGATTTTGGCTACAGGATGCGCAGAGAAGCTGTGCCAAGAACTGGGGTACAATGTGCTCGGAGAGACAGTGCTCTGGCCTGTAAGTAGGGGTTTCTCAAATTGGCAAACTTGTGGGTCTTTATCTATGTATGGTAGGTTCCATTGAGGGCTCATTGCAGGACAGGCTTATCCTACTTTTGTCGGCGCAGCATTTGCAAGAGCTCACAAGGAAGGAAGTCTGCAGAGTGAGGTTGTTTAGGGTTTGGGGTTTAGGGGTTAGGGTTTAGGGTTTAGGGTTGGGTGGCATAAAGTATGTGGATGTGCTGGAGGTTCAGCATTCGTGTTTGTGGACCCCTGTGAACTCTGTCAGATTCAAACCGCATGCCTGTCATTCTCCCTTTCGTTCCACGCTGATTTCAATGATTTGGATTTTCACGCATTTTGTCCATGGGCTTAAGTAGCGAGACAGGGAGTTACTGGCTTATACTAGCACTGATTATATTCGAGCTTACCGACTTCCACGCTTTCCTGTGTTTGCGTCCGCCCATGTTGAAAACATAGCTGTGCCCGCTGCACACAACGGGCATAAGCTTTACTCGTAGCAGCAGCAGGCGGGATCCAATCTCAATCACGGAACATGCGCTTCGTGTGAGGTTTGGATTAGCTTGGGTTGGGGGATTTGGGGATCTATGAAAGTCCCAGGTTCTTGCCGCTAAACCTAGATTCAAGCCTCTCACCACTTTGCGACTACTTCCGAGCCTGATTGAGTCTGTCGTCATGAATGATATTATGATATATTATGCTTGACATGATCGCCCTGGCTATTGTTATCGTTAGTGCTAGCTCTCGTCAACCCTTGCACACGCGTGGACGATAATCGAACCAATCTAATTTGTAGGCTTTCTTATGTCGTATTCTGGGTTGCTGTTAAGGAACATAAATTAAGTTGCCATAATGGGTA